CTTTATTGTTTATAATTTTAATCGGCGATACCGATTTGTGCTCAGTGGAAGTAGACATTGACTTGCTATCGTCGTTATCCATTGTTATAATTACCTATTTCAGATAAGGTTTCGACCGGCTATGTGCCGGCCGGGCGGCGCTAGCGAGCGCGGCTGGCTCGAGGTCGGGAATGAGTTAATTAAAATATATGAAAAAACGCACTTTTACGAGACAATTTTTTTGTTTTATAAAAAACAAAACGAACATTAGATGCGAAATGTTATGCTGTTTCGTTTAACATAATATACATATCAAAAATAACACGCATTAAGTTGGAAAAATTATATAATTATGCTTACCGGATTTCGCAACATGTGAACGCTATCGCGGCTCGACACGAACTATATTTAAAAATATGTGATATTATTTATAATAATTATGATGCTATGATAAAGTGTCTAAATAAAGTACATGGAAAATCATTTGATGGCAATGAAGTAGCTCAATGTGCAGGACTACTGTTTGCAATAAAAAAGAAAACATTTAGATTTTCTTTATGTCTTATGTTAAAATGTTTACGATAAAACCAGCTGATAAAATTCTACAATCAAGAGAAACTGGTTTAACCTCAGCAATTCCAATTATTTATAGTGTGATTAATAGTTTAAAACAATCAAGAAATGAAGTTTTAAAAGATAGTGAAAGTTTATTACCTTAACTGAATCTCCAAAACGTAAGAAAAAGACTCCTATAAAGTTCATTAATTAAACTTTAGGTGAATCATCTGGTACCAAAACATATGTCGAAAACAATATAAACATTACATTATTTTTATTTTATTTTATTTTTTTTTTTATATATATATTTTAAAGAAATTTACAATCTGTACATAAAAACAAAAACAATAAGTAAATGTGATAAATATTATGAATAACAATGGCATAAATAGCATGATTGGGGAAGAGGCCCATTGGCAACACCCTCATAATTTGTAATTTGGCAATTTATTATAATAGGTCACGGGACCAGTTCCTTTTTGAACGTCGTTTTGGGTTTCCAGGTAGAACGTGAGAGGACATATTTTTTATAAGAGGATTTTTATGGGAGTCGAGTTTGGAATACATCAATTTCTTTTTCGAATAATAAGTTATGAAGTTCATGTTTGTGTTGAATGGCACCGTTTGCGTTCCAGAGTAAAATGTTTAATGAGGGATGGGGTTGGGTGGAGTTATTCATTATTTTTTATTAAAAGTTTGTTGATAACCGTTGTGAGAAGTGAAATAAGTGGATTAATAATTAATTTAAAATCATCTAGGAATGAGGTGAGCTGTTTGAAAAAATAATTTGTGGTTTGTTCATGGATTTTTGTATTATTAAATTGACGAGAGGCATCTGCGTATGATTGAGTGTGAGGCTGATTATTAGTATTAATATTATCGTTTGGGGTGGTGCAATGACCTCTTTAACAGGTATGGGATTATTGTTACTTAATAATTTAATATATGATTGGAAATCTTGGTTAATTTTTTTTTTATTTTTCTGGTGTCTTTGTTGTAGATTTTTATACACAATGCAACCTCGATAACTTGCTGGGTGTTGTCCTTCGCATAGTGCGCATTTTGATGGTTGGTCGATGGGTTTTAAACAGGCTGAAGTATTATGGTTTTCCCCACATTTCACGCATCGAGGTGCGTGATTACAGTATGTTCTCGTGTGACCAAAATTTTGGCATCTAAGACATTGTATTATTTGGCGTCGGGGGTATGGCTCTTCAACTTCAATTTTGGTGTAGCATATTGAAGTTAATTTAAATATTTCTTTGTTATTTTGGTAAGATTCAAGGTCTATGAAAAATAGGAAACATTTAAATTATTTGTTACGAAATTACTACATAGGTATATTAAATTATATAAATAATGGGTTACAGATAATAAGCCTATATTGTTTTGTTGTATTTTAATTGTATTATATTTAATTAAAATTTCAATTTATAATGTCAATTTTAAGTCAAATGAATAATTGGCGAGCGTTTTTAAATTGTTTTATACATAATTTTTTTATAAACGAGTTGAAATACCAGGCTTTGTTCGTGCAAATTATGTGAACCATAAGTTTTTTCTACTTTTTTTTTTAATAAACCATAATTAACAAATAATATATTTAAAAAATAACTGAAAATTTAGCTTTCTCTAGTCATTAAGGCGTAATTAAATAAGTATTATAAAAATGCCAATAACGTTAATGTTGATTTGGTTATATCTACGTTAATTTATGTATAAGTAGATTTAAAGTGATTGATGGTTATTGGTTAGCAAATTTTTCAATAATTATTGAGGATATATAATTTTTAACAAGCTATATTATGTATGATTAATAAGTATTACATGTTAAAATAAAAAAAAATCCTGTTACTCCATTTGTAGTCATACTTTTTATTATGTACATTAAACATTTTACACTGATTTTTTAAATTATTTCATTAATACCTCATCCAAAAGAAATTTTTATCATGTCAGAGTTCCTAAAATTTCTTTTATTTTAAGAAAGACACTAAATAATTTACTAACCAGAATATTCAACAAAATCAAAATACTATATGATTATATTCTAGATATTATGCATAACTGACCAATACATTATTTAATAAAAAAAAAATAGAAGGTAAACATTAATAGAAAATACATGTTGAATCGAATATTAAGGATTTACCACTATTTTACTTTTGTAGTAACACACTATTAAAATAAATAAAGAATAAATAAACAAATATTTTAGTAAATGTATTTGCAGTTACTTTTAACAACTTTAATAAATTTGTAAAGTTAATAAAGCCATCTCTGTAGTTCCTAATAAATTTGTTACCATTCAAATAAAGTGGAGGCCGGAATTATATCAATTTGCATATTTTTTTTTTTTTTTGATTCTATGCAGTCGAAGGAAGGTTCGAAATTCCAACAAATCATGAAACATGTAAATTAACAGCAAGTTTGCTGTGCGTATTTGAGAAATATTACATGATAAAAGAATATTTTGTATAATAAAGAATATTAGAGAATATGCCAATCAATTAATTTTATAAATTTTTGATATTTTGTGTTGCAGTTACTTAAATATAATAAATTATGTTTGATAATAGTGATATTGAATTTTAAAAAATGTAAGTTTTAAATGGAAATATTGAAGTATAAATTATAGATAATTTATCAACAGTTATTATAACCGATTTCCAACATACATTTGTAATCTCAGTTGACATTAAGTTCTTTCAGTACATATAAAAACATTGTAATAGACTATCATATTAATATTTATTTACCAAATATTGTTGTCAACTATTTTCTTAATTAAAATAATAAAATATTACTTACATTTTTTTTTAGGACAAGGTAAATTGAGTTCCTAACTAATTTATCTTTTTTCAAAATAGGTAAACTGAGTCCCACGTATAAAATTTAGAGGTAAGCTGAGTCCCTCATGTAACAGTTAAAGCGGCAAACTGAGTCTCGTCTAAAATATTTAATATGTTAAACTTATTTAAATGTATTTAAATTATAAATATAATTTTTGATATAGTTATAAATTCACCAAGTACGATAGGTAAGTGTATCTTATCATTACATCATTAAATATTATTATATTTTGCTCTGTATTATTATGCAACATTTTTATAAGTACCTAACTATCTACAAAACGCTGGATGTGATATGTGATAACTGATAAATGCAAGTTTAAAGTACGTAGTATAAAATTGTGTTAAATAAAAAAAAAAACAGCATTTCACCATATTTCAATTTACTGCTTTAATTTTTATATGAAGGACTCAATTTACCTCAAATTAATAAAATGGGACTTAATTTACCAAAACCGTTTTTTTACACTGTATTATTTTTATTATATACCTTTTTGGATCAGTTTTTTGTAATATGTATTTCATTTTCTGGAATATAAAATATTTGTAATTAATAGAATATATTAACATAAAAGCATATTTTTTATACATTTTATTATGATATTAGAAGAATATTTTCAACTTTTATAGGGAATATTAGGATCTAAATTTGGCTGTTTTAAAAAAATTTTCCGACCTCTACTAAAAAAAAAAAATCATACAATAATCTTAAAACCTATTAATACAAATATGTTTATTCAATTTAAAATAAACAAATTTTATATAATAATTCAATTTTCAAAGTATGAAATTAAATAGAGTATATTACTTTTAATAAACTAAATGAGATATTCTAATGGTTTAAATTAAATATAATGTAAACTTCAAAAAAAAAAAAAAATTACAAAATTAAAAAGCAGAAGTATAAATATTGAACTTTACATATGCTTTTAAAACTACAGGTTTATCATAGTGAAAAAAAAATTGAACATTAAATTATAACTTATGAATGTAACATCTAAGGAAACCATTAGTACTCTTCTAAGCTGTTACTAAAAGGTCAACCAAACCAAAATTATTTAAAAATGTCTTAACTGATGATACAATTAAATCGACTTCATAAAATTACTATTATATTTACAAGTATACAAGTTAATATTATTTATCAAATGTAAATTCTTACTTATACACAAATCTTTTAATTTAACATTTCATATATTTAGTATTTACTTATCACACAATATTAAATATTATATTTTACACAATATTCAATATAGTCAAGTTTTGAATGATGTTAACAATTTATTTGAATGTTATTAATTTAGAAAAATAAAAAGTTAATTTTGTTTGTTTAATACATTTACATAAATATTTTGAAGTATGGATAGTATATACATGAATATAAATCTAAACTTTACCTTTGTGTAATTTTTAATAAAATCAAGTACAATCATCCAACATTAAAGAAAAAAAATATATATATATAATATAAATGTATAATATTGGGATGCAAAATAATATATATTCACAATAGCCTAATTATTTACAGTAAAAATAATAGTATTATAATTAACTTTAATTTTCAACAAAAATTATTTGTTATTAAAAATTTCGATCTGCAAGTGTCTATTATAAATGTCCAAAAAAAAGGAAAATTTTAAGAATTAAAAAAAAAAAAAAAAAATCAAAATTTAGCTCTAACATATACTGCACTAGTGTCATGGTCACTATACCCAAGACGTTTTGCATGTTTAAATACTTCATTTACACTTGCTGTAACTGGGCATGGCTGCTCCAATATATCTGACCAGTTTAATGACAAGTTTAAATCTTTCTGTATATGTTTCAGAGCTTGATTTGTTTTAAAATTGTTTTGCATCATAGCTATTGTTAACAAATAAAATTATTATAATTCAAATTACTAAAAAATATTAATGCACTTATATACCATCTCCTTTTTCCAACAACAATGGGCACTGTAATGAAGTCATTGCTAAAATGTCAAGCAAATCTTTTTGTGATATTCCTGCTCTGTTTGCTAAAGCCATGCCTTCAGCTAATCCAGCCAGTGAAACAGCTTTGATAGAATTTATAATTAAATTCATTTTAGTGGCTGACCCAACCTCACCTAGATAAATCAAAATATCTTAATTACATGATACCTTTAATTAACGAGATGAATGATCATAAAATAAACCAAGGTTTACCAAGATAAAATGAATTTTTAGCAATAGCACAAAATGTTGACTGGCAATCATCAAATAAACTCTTGTCACCTGCAGACATACAGACTAAATTTCCTTCTTCTGCTTCGGTCTTACTACCTTGAATCATAGCTTCTAAATAACGCCCACCTTTGCCTACAATAGCCTAAAAAAAAAAAAAATTAACTTATACTTTTAAATCTATTTATAATGTTAATATAATATAATATAAAGTTATACCTCACAAATATCCTGAGATGTTTCTGGATCAATACCACTCATTTCAACAAATCCTTTATTTGTAGTAACTTCAGCAAGTACTCCACAATTTCCAAATACCATCTACACAATTATATAAAAATACAATTAATTTTAAAATACAAACATAAATAACAATAATCATACATCCTTTGCAACTTGTGGATCAGAAACACAAGAAAATGTTATATCTGAACCACCAATAACATCAGACGGAGTTAATCCTACACTGGCTCCTGCATTTTTAAACTGTTCACTCTGAGAAAAAACAAATTAAAACAATTATTATTAAGTATTTATAATTAAATTTCTATGATATTCATGAAATTTTAGTAATGCAACTAATTTAAATATATATTTTAAATAACTAGCTTAATATCGATATTTGATGAAAACTGATTGAACTAATCGTAGATACATATAATATTATTTATTGTAAGTATGCTTGTCACAACCGTCTTGATCAATTAATTTTATTTATATATTTCACAATAAATAACTCTCTAAAAAAAGTAGACTGCAAACAGTGTACTATATACATAATATATGGATTGGTGTGCCGCAAACATTTTGTTGGAGATGAAATGTACGGCATTGTTAAAAAGGTTGAAAACTACTGTACTAGAGAAATAGATGATTAGTCTATATAATACAAAATTTATTTATTTCAGATCTTTTAACGTGCTGGTCAGCATGTACCAGCTAGTGCAACGAGAGTAGAGCACAATCAATTGAGCTTCTTAATCAATGTATTTATTTGATAAATGTGAAATAATGAACCCTTGCCTTGACTTTAAAATAATAATTTGATTGTAAATAATTCTAAGTCCAAAACCTTTTATATTTTAAGTAAGTATACTGGCGTGAAGGTGCTTGCTACGATCGGACCAAAATACATCTGACTATGGGTTTGTTTGAAACCTCCTTATACACTGGATTTTGCATGAACTCCTAGTTTTCATTTTCATTTTCTCATCACAGTTATTACAGTATTTACACATACTTTAGAATGTATTATACAGTAATTACTATACACAGTATTTGATTAGTGATATGCAATTTTATATTTGTTACTCAACTCTAGACTATACACAATTACCACAAAACTACTTTATACATGTCTTATAATCAATCAGTAATAGGTCATTCTGTTTTTTTGTATCACTATAATCGTTATATTACTGGTATCTATATATATTTATATATGTATTGATTATAATAAGAGTTATTCTATTGTTCTTAATACTATTTTAAGTGGTATTCTATGTAATCGTAAGAACCTACATTTATATATGTCCTATATGTCCATAACAACCTAATATATAAGTATATTTAGTGTTCAAAATTAAAAATTAGACATTTAAATATTGTTAGAACTATGATAATTAAAAAAAAAAAAAAAAAAAAATATTAATTAATTAAAAATATATGCCAACAAAAATAATAATAAATTATTTTACTTATGTTTAATTAATTTTAAAACAATCAACATTTTTAAAAATTATTTTAATTAGCAACATCATAATCCATTTATTAATAACATATTTATATAAGATGCATCTTTTAGTATCATACCATTAATTTACAATGCTCTGTTTGTAATTTTTTTCTGTAATAAATGTTAAGTATATATATTGTATACAAATAACAAATTTAGTTGTAGAGAATCGTAAATCAAGACTGTATGTATGTTATTAAATAGCTAATGATTGTATCAATAGAACTAAATTATATTTTTTAAGGATATTGATTATTTTAAAAATAAAAATGAGTAAAAAATTTGATTTATATATTATATTATTACAACTTCAATAATGAAATGTGATCATGTGCTTTTTATCAATTAAATAATCTAAATTTATACTATTTAATTTTTAGATAAGATAATTAATAATAGAAAAATTAAACATATTCAACATAATTACAATTTGTCTAAGTTGTATAAACATAACGAGAAATAACAAATAACAAAATGTTCTATTTTTAATAATGCAATCTAAAAGTCAAGAAAAAATAATAAGAAAAGTAAATTCCCATTCTAGTCATTAATAAGGTAAACTCAAAGCTTTAGCTACCTGTAAAGAACTAAATTACCATTTTAATACCCCATAATTTAGAAGAGTAGCGAACTAGTAAACAAGTAAATAACAAGTGCAAGTACACAACAGCTGCCGCAACAATGTTGGAGAATAGGGAATTATCGAACCGATAGCGTTGGTCGCACTGAAAAACTCCACTATCAAGTTGCCATGGATGGGAGACGAAATGAGAGAGTACATTATTGGAGAGTGAACATGACGTTATGTTTTTCGGCGTTACATGTATAGCAGCCATTTAAATTCACATAGTTTTTAACGTTAACATTAAAAACGGCAGCAATGTGATAGCTAACTTTTAACCGTTTATTTTTTTTACACTCAACAAGTAAGAAAAGACCGCATATTCAAAACAAATGAGATCCTATCAACATTGTAAAATAAACAAAAAAAAAAGGTAATATAATTACAAACCATTATTCTAAATACTATTGAATCACTTAAATAATAATTTGTTTCAGATAATTTAAAATGCATTATTATATGATTTTTATAATAACGGTCATACTTCATAAATTATCTAACGCACTGGACACCACCATTTGCACTAATGATGGGACATGTGAATGCAGAAATAACAATGTATCCTGTACCAAATATATCCAAGAAGCACCATTCATTCTACCCAACAACACTACAACCATATATTTTGTGGATGTTCCAATTACAGCAATCAATAATAACACGTTTGTTAATGGAAACTTGCAGAGTCTTACATGGGTGGCAAGTAAGATAATGATTATCGATGCCTTATACAATTGCAACGAGCTACAATATTTAGATTTATCTCAAAATAATATTCAAAAGCTATCAGATGATACATTCAAAAATTGTTTCAAATTAGAGTATGTTGACTTATCTTACAACCAAATTAGTATTTTATCAGACAATTTGTTCTCATATACAAAAATGTTGGAGACAGTTAAATTAGAATACAACACTTTCAATATAATAACACAAAACATATTTAAAGAAAATATAAATATAAAAAAACTTAGTATAGGCAATTCAAATTTTTTTATTCTAGCTGAAAATGCTATGTCGAATTTGAATAAATTAGAATATCTTAATATTGAAAATAGTGGAATTGAATATCTCAATAAAAGTTCTTTTGGTGATCATAATAAGAATTTACATCATATTTTACTAAACAATTGTACAAATTTAAAATCAATTGACAATGCTCTTATTAAATCAGCTCCAAATATTGAAACTATTGAACTCAAAAATTGTGGATCAATTTATTCTTTACCACCAAATATTATTTCACTCAAAAACTTAAAATCTCTACAATTGTTCGACACAGAAATCCAACCTAAGTGCCATAATGGATGGTTCAGCCAGTGGTATAATAACAAAAATACTATTGTTATTGGATACCAAGGATATTTACAATTTAAAGAGAACATAAATAATCATGATTGTCCAGCAAAAATATATTATTTTAGTGATACAAATACATTAACATTAACCAAAAAAGGAATTATTAATTGTATGGCATATGGAAATCCACGTCCAGCAATAACTTGGTTGGTACCTGGTGGCTTAACATTTCATGAAAATAAAGAAGCAGATGTAAATATATATAATCATCCAGATGTCCACAATTGGGATTTAAAGCAAATAGATAATCAACCTATTTTAATAAGCAAAAATGGATCTTTACATATTTTACGAATGTTGAGAAATAGTATAGGCAATTATACTTGCTATGCATCAAATGAACATGGAAATGATTCTAAGATAGTAGAAGTACATCTAGATAGTGGAATATTTTATAATATCAAAATGAATGCAATTATATTAGGAATAACATCAGCAATGGGGTTTCTAATATTAACCATACTATGTTGTGCATTTAAGTTATTATTAATAAGGTTAGTACAATCATGATCTAAATGTAATTTTTTTTTAATTATAATTTTTTTTTATTTTAGACTGAATTGTATAAAAAAAAGAAGTAAGCCAACAGAAGCAGAAATGGAAACCACAGAGCAAAATGATGTATAGTTTTAAAATAAATATGCTGTGAAATTAATCTTAAAAGGTAATTTTTTTTCTGAACCTAAATCACATAGAACTGAAAATCAAAATTAGTACAAAAAAAATTTTTTTAAAGTTTTATTAAATATTTTATATAAAATACAAATATTTAATAAGTTGAAAATATTTTCAAATAAAATAATTTTAAAGTATTGATTGTTAATTATTTTAATTTTCTAAAATGTATATAAAGATATAAATATTTATATAGTCAAAAAATTAATTTAAAATATATTACAATATATTTTTAGTCTTAAATTGTACATAGTTAAAACGATCAATAGTATGCTATTATATTAAGTTTTTCATGAAGTTGTATAACATACTACGATATTATATGTTAAGCGTGCTGTTAATGAACAACAAGCTGATGAGATTTAAAATAGCAACTATTTAGTGAATAAAGCTTATCAATCAATCTACTATCAACACCATATAATATAACATGTATTGCTAATAACTTTGTTATATTAATTTATATTAGGTGTTATTTCACCGTAATAAAGATTGCGTGTAAAGATAGTTGTCCAGTTTTAATATATAAATCAAAAAACTGTGATATATAATTATATGCAAAAAAATGTATAATATAGTAACAAAACCTAGTAAATTTGAATGCAAATACCTTTGCTTTTGTAAATCTGGACTTCTATGAAATATTTTTTTGATATAATTATAACTGGTCATAATTGTGAATAATTTAAATATTTTTAATTTGAATAGTTGTATTGGCATCTATAATTAAAATTTACTATTTTAAAATGATTAATAATTAATTAATTTATTGTTGATATAAATTACATTGTTTTTAATATCATGAACTGTAAAATAAATACATTTTATGCAGTGTTAATTTAAATAATCCATTTGTATCCTTTTTAGTTAATATTAAGTTAAATAAAAAAATATTTATTAATTATTCCATATAAATTATTTATCATTAAAAATATTATTGTTATTAATTATTGTATTTTGAATAACTTTTAACTATAAATGTACTTAGCACTTTTAAATAATACTAAGTAGACTTGTGAGCACAACCTTTCAATAAGAATAATAAATAGATTGTGTCATTGCTCTTTAATGGATGGTGTCTATTTAATTTATAAAATCATAATTGCTAATTTGTTTGGTATTATATATGTTCAGCAATTTATCCAGTCATAAACATATATATTAAATTGCCAAATACCAGGCCCAATGTAGAACACATATCTAAAAGCATTTACCACATAATCTAGTATTATTTATTAAAATCTATTAACTAACTCTTATTTTTTACAATCACAAACTTTTTTTTTTTAGTAGTTTAAGGTAAAGAAGGTACCTCTACATTATTCCTTATGGCTTTGATATGCTGATATATTTTTCAATAATATTATAATCGATAAAAAAAACTCAAAACTTATAATTTAATATTTAACATTAATATTTTTTAAGCTGATGAGCTAATCATATAAAATACTTATTCATGAAAAAACTAATCCAAGTGTAACATTAGTTTATATTTTTAAAAAAGTTTGAGATAGTAATAGAAATAAATTTTTTAAAGATAAATTAAACTTATTGTTCTAACTTTTGTAAAAAAAAAAAAAAAATAGATTAAAATTTAAAAATAACTTATGAACAATTTCTTACTAACAAGTTGAAAACAAAACTGATAATTTTTTTTTGAAAATTTTTGTCAACTAGAAATTTATAAATAAATAAGTAAAATCTCTTCCTACTTAACATTTATGAACAAAAATTTCTTACAAATATGATAATTGGAGTAATCCTTCTGATCAAAAGTATATACAAAAATCATGGTTACACATTCATTATTTCACTCAAAATCTAAGAATAAATTTTTAGTTGATAATCAAAATCATAGAAAATAATAAAACTGTTACTAAACATTAAGCTTAAATAAATCAAATGTTTAACTATGGAATTAATGAAAAATATTTCATTTATATAGATATTCAAATAAAAATACAGTCGAATACTCTTAATGGGGACACCGCATACAGGAGCCAAATAAGCAGAGTCCAGAACAAACGTATTCGTTTTAGACAATTTAAAATTGTTTATTGAGGACAAAACATCGGTTATAAGATAAAACAATCTATACATACCTACTTTCTTATCAAAACGGTAATTGTCTAATATCTGTCTCTCAGATTTTATAGAATAATAATGTTTAAAAAATAACAATTACCTACATATTTTACTTTTACTTATTGCTTTTTTCTCCTACCATCACCTAATATGTGAAGATATAACTAACTAGTCCGCGTACAAAATTACTTTATTAATAATATTTAGTTCACATTCTTTCAGCTCCGTGTATGTACGTTCGGTTTTATTAATTCAGTATATGTTAACACATAACAATGTCTTATGAAGATTTAACTTTAAGTAAAAAAATAACTCTACTTGATAAAATTAAAGCTCAACCTCAAAATACTTGTGTTCATGAGTTATAGAAATTAATAGACATATCTAAATTAGTAATTAACCAATTGAAAAAAAATGAAAATGCTATTCGTGAAGAGTGAGAAAAATTAAATGATAGCAAAAGTGGACCTATAAACAGAAAAAGAAAGTAAGAAGGTAAAAATTCCGAAGTAAACCGTGCTATGAATGGTTTTCTGCTGTTACTGAGCATGGTGTTTGAATTTCAGGACCTATGTTACAGCAAAAAGCTGATATTTTCACTCAAAAAAGTGGACATGTTAATTTTTAACCCATGAAGTTTGGATTAGTCATTGAAAGGATCAGAATAATATTAAATTCAAACAATTCTACGGAAAAAAATCAAGCGCTGAAGAATGGTCTTTATTTAAGTTACCAAAAATTTAGAATAAATTTTCTCCTGAGGATGTTTATATGCTGACTTTATAAACTGGCCTATTATACCAAGCAACTCCGGATGGTTTTTAGTGCTATAAATGTGAAACACTCGAAGGATTAAAAAAAAACTATGGATAGTACAACAGTTTAATGTTGTTGTAATATGGCAGGCACAAATAAAATAAAATAAACTGTTAATAATCGGAAAGTTAGCAAAGCTAAAATGTTTTGAAAATATAAAATTAATAAATTTATCTGTTTCTTATTTAGCAAATAAAAATGCATGGATGACAGTAGGAAGAATTTTTGCGTTGTAGTTGTAAGATTGGGACAAAGAGCTTGGAAAACATTCAAGGCAAATTGTATTAATTGTTGATAATGTAGGACCACATTCCTATTTAATGGATTTAAAAAATATCTATTAATGTTTCTGCCAACCAATACTACTTTTCTTGTTCAACCACTCAATATGGGGATCAATCATTAGGAATTTTAAAACTTATTACCGTAGATTGCTGGTAACATACGTTCTTAATGCTATTGAAGATAATTTAGTGACTATCTTAAAGTGCTATAGATATCAGTTCTAAAATAAAAATTCTACAAGCATTATAGTTTGTTTTTTGACAGCTGGAGAAAAATGTCATATGTTACAATTCAGCATTGTTTTGCTCGTTGTGGTTTCAGACAACAGATTGATTTACCCATTCCTCCTATTAAAAATAACAACATAGTATAATGCGTAGAAAATGGAGAATTATTTTTTAACATTGATAATAATGTAGTGCACCCACTTGGGGTACCCTTTATTTGGGCAACGGGTATGACATTCCTACAGACCTCAGTCAACTAGGTGGAGGTGTAGTTTGAAGCATGCCCCAGGATCGTAAGTGTCTACTTAGATCGTAGCACTGAAGCACCTATATTAAGTGAGGTTGGCATTGGGCCAAACCCAGTATGCAAGAATCTATAGTTAAGAAACAACCATGATAAAAGCCTTGGATAAACATGGAGTTTCAGGATTTCAAGACTGGAACATAGAATGTAATCATTACATTGGACTGGAACACTGACAACGGTAGTATCTGAACTTGACAGATACGAACTTACTTTATTAGAGGTTTAAGAGACTAGATGGCCTGGAATAGAAAATTTAAAAACACAGAAAGCAACCTTCTTCTATTGCAGAGGTAACTCACACGAAAAAGGTATAGGCTTTCTAGTAAGCAATAACATACTGTCTGCCATCAAAACATTTGTGCCAATAAATGAAAGAATATGATATATAGTAGTGAAAGGTAGATGGTTCCACATCACATTTATAAATTGTTATGCTCCAATGGAGGATAAAGGTAATGAGACTAAAAACTATTTTTATAGTCAACTAGAAACAGTCAATGACTATTCCAAGTAACGTAATTAAGGTAGTGATGGCAGATTTCAATGCAAAAGTTGACAGAGAGCAATGGTTCAGACCGGTGATTGGAAATGAAAGTTTACATAATATCTCTAATAATAATGGTGAAAGGCTGATATCCTTTGCGACGACAAGAGGCATGACAATTTCAAGCACACAATTCCAACATAAAAACATTCATAAGCATACATGGATATCAACAGGAAGCTCTGTAAAGAATCAGATAGACCATATGATGATCGATTCAAGAAGAAAACGACGTGTCATAGACGTAAAAAAATGTAGAGGTATAAGTGGAGTTTCAGACCATTTCCTTGTGCAAGTTATGATGCATATAAGGTCAATTGGAGTTTAGAGAAATGTTTGAAGAACTTCCAAATAAGCCAATGTCAGAAAAATTAGAAAATCATTAGGTAGTAACAGCCGAACAACAACTGAATAAACCAATATAAGAGGAAATACAAATGGCTATAAAGACACTCAAAAATCGAAAGGCACCAGGAAAAAATAACTTAACAGCTGTAGCTTATTTGCGCCTCAGAGTAGTACATTTGCACCCCCAGGGATGTAGACAGATGCGCCTGAAAGATAAGGTACTACCTACTGATTTATAGCCCATATGCACCCATTTCGCAACAATGCTGCCATTGTGTTTTATAATATAGATTATTTTTATTTTGATAAATACTTAAATTAAGTAGATTAGTATAATATACTATTATAGTAATTTAATAATAATTGTCTAAATAATAAAGTTTAAATTTTATAATTTTTTCAACATTTTGTATTTAAAAAAAATAGTAAATATAACAATAATGAGTAACTTTATTACTTTCACTCGATTATGCCCATCACTATGTACAATAATTTTAACTTTATAAGGTTAATAAATAGTATGGCTTGTATTCCAGAATACAATTTGGCAACATTGCAGGGGTTTAACATATTTTTATTAAAAATATTTCGGGCGCAAATGGTTTTCACCAAACTTCACACTGAAATTCTTTAAACATGGGGGAAACACAATTACCAAATAAACGGAACAACTAATAAAAAATATATGGAAAGAAGAAAATATAGCTGAACTCTGTCAATTATATGCCCTGTTCGCAAGGGGATGTCATGCATGTAGGAACTATAGAGGGATATATATATATATATATATCACCACTTGACACATCATCCAAGATACTATCAAATATACTTCTCATTAGACTAAAAGCCATATGGTGAGGAAATAGTCGGTGAGTATCAAGCATGTTTTAATGCAGGAAGATCAATAGTCGACCCGATTCACACTATCAAACAAATAATGAAAAAGACATACAAATATAACCAGGACCTCTTCATGTTATTCATAGACTATAAGTGTATGACTCCATAGTAAAAAAAAAGCTACGGATAGCAATGGAAGACCTAGGAGTTCCTATTAAATTAATTAGACTGATAAAATCGTGCTTACAGAACTCAAAATGCAAAATGCCAATAATCATATATCTAAGGAATTCTAAGTTAAAACAGGATTAAAACATGGAGATGCATTGCCTCCCATCCTCTTTAATATAGCATTGGAATCAGTGGTTAGAGGACTGTATAAACGGACGTAGGGATTAGACTACAAAATAAAAAATTAACGTATTAGTATATTCGGACAATATAGTGTTAATTAGTAAGACAGAGGATGAAATTAAGACTTTAGCAGAATTACTTATAGAGAGAAGCAAACCAATGGAATTAATGGTAAATAAAGAAAAGACTAAATATATGATATTATCGCGAAAAAACTATAACCAAAAAAGCGTAGCGATGAACGGAATGCTTTTTGATAGTTAATACATTCAAATACCTCGAAGTGGAATTGAGAGCGGATAGAAATAACCATAGAGAAATCCAACAAAGAATTAATTCAGATAACTCAAAAGGTAACAAAATGGATCCAATAGAAAGAGGCAGTGTAGAAGGCCAAGACAAAAATGGATAGACAGAGTTAAAAGTGATCTATAAATTTTAGGAGTAAAAAACGAAGAGCTAGCTAATGACAGAGAAGCATGGAGAGGTATGGTGGTTACGGCAAAAGACCTAAATGGCCTATATTAAGCCAAAAAAAAAAAAAAAATAATGTTTTGCACAGATTCTTTAAGCGGTCTATATCAACCCCTTGAGGATGATTCTGACCTGAAAGGGGTCTATGTTAACGAAAAATAAAATAGAGGTCCATAAGAGTTATATGTCAAAAATGTGTGTCGTAATTTTTATAAAAGATATGTGTGCAACGATGCAAACAATAACAATTATTATAAGAAACATTGTTGATAATGACTAACGGAGTCGAAGGTGAATATTGGAATATTAAGATCAAATTACACATACATTACAGTTGATGATTACACATTCAACTGTTTATTTTTAGGTCTCAGTAATAACTAATAAGTACAATAAACATGATAAAAACATCAAAAAAATTATTTAAATATAGTCATTATTTTAAAAAATAAAAGTATTGTTAAAAAATGCACTCCAAAGTAAAGCATATTCTGGTGAGCAGTTTCGTGTAAGCTATGAAAAACACCTAAATGAATTATTTAAAAATTTAATTTAAATGGTATACGAAAATGAAAAAAACTGGCATGTGGTCTATGGGGGAAAAAAGTTTGAAACCCTCTCATGTATTGTTTTAAAGAAAACGAGAATTACGATATTATTCTGCAAAATAAAGAAAGTCATGACAATGACAACATTCAAACCATCAAAATAACAAGAGAAGCAGAAAAATACATTGATCAGCTGAAATTATATTTCATACAAAATGAAAACAAAAGTGCTCAAACTTCACTGGACGTTTGTACAGACTTTGTTAATAAGCAAAGTTTTAATTAATTAAAACAAATAATAGATGATTTTCTAGCCCAAAAAATAATTACTGTACAATAGGGTGACTATGATAATATTTTTATGGTGTTTAGTGTTAGATTAATCAATTAATTTATAATAAATGTGCATATAATATAATTTACAATATCGTAATATATATTACAAATATATTTACAATATATGTATAATAATATATATGTATGTTTCTTATAATTAAGTTATAATAATGCATTTTAATAAATATATATATATATATTTTTTAAATCAGTTCATTGGTCAGTTAAATAATGGGAAAAATAGATGGATCACTGCCCATTGTGTCCCTAATAAGTAGATTCGACTGTAAATAAACTATAGGACAAAAAATAAAAAAAAGCAATGTAAATTTAAAGAATACTAGTATTATAAACTAAATGCCTCAAGAACCTACTGTATGTTTGACTAACGAATTTACAAATAAACTAAAAAAAAATTGTAAAAAAACTAGTGCTATAAAAATCAGTAAGAAAAAAAAATACTATAAAAAAAACCTTGAAGTAAAATTTAATCCAACAAAAGCACTAAAATTATTAATTATTAAAAACAATTTTACCCTAAATATCAAACATGAACATTATACAAGATTAATCAATATAAATTTTCCAAAGCATAGAAAATGAATACATATAACATTCCTTTATGTTAATCTTAAAATATATAATAAGATCACACAAGAAATCTAACAACCAAATAATTCCTTTAATGCTTTAACATATAATAATACCTTTAACAAGGTGGCTACAGAAACATAAAATAAATAAATAATTATATAGCAAGAAGATTTTAATTGTTTGAATTTACATGTTAAGTATAGTTAAATTGTTTAAATGTTAATATTATTATACTGTCACTATTTTATTAAATAATTTTGTATTATAAATGTATAATAATATCTATCTAGATTTTTAAACAAAAACTTTTCAATGAGGCCTATTATATTTTGAATAAATAAATAAAATTAAGTCAAATACGTAATTGGCAAAATAATATGCAATTATAAATCAAAATTTTGAGATTAAACATATTTTAGAAATAACTATGATTGTATGAAAATGATTCTAAGCTCTATTGATACTAAATAAAAATTAAATCCCAAAATCACGTAATAATAAGAGATATGTTAATTTCTTCACTTTGAAATTTTCTTAACTTTAATTTATATTTTATTAGTAATAATATTATTATATTTAATTAAATTTCAAACTTAATTAATCAACTACATATTATAAGAATATATAGAATAATGAATAGTTAAATATTGAATTATATTAAGATCCGTAAAAAAAATATCAATAAATTATAAAAAATGGTTGTTTTATAATGTGAATTTTAAACATAATTAATGATTCCATGAAATTTTAATTATTTTATAAACAAAACATACTGAATATTAAGTATTAACTTATTAAAATTATTTAAGAACTAGAATTCAAATACACTTTGATTATAAAAAAAATATAAAATTTACATTTGTTTTTGTTTGAACTTCGAGTTTGTTACTTCCTTTTCATAATCCTAATATCTCATTTTAAACTGAAAGATTAATGCAATACAGAAAGTGGCATAATAAAGAAATAATTTAAATAACCATAAAAATGTCAAGCACTATAAAATCAATACAACAAGTGTCTGTTATGACAGATTTCACTCTATTATAAATATGTCCCACTTTTAATTTATCGATAGAATATAATACAGAAGCATAAATATATTTTCTTTTCATTAGAATGCTACACATTAACCATATAGTTTTCAAAATAATAATATAAATTATATGAAATATAAGCAGTATTAATAGTAAATGTTTCACGCCTGAAAATTCAAATAAATATTATGCAACCAAAACCAAAAACAAAAGTTAATTCAGGCTTTTGAAAAAAATATCTATAACAAAGCAAACACAGTTAATTACCTTAGCTTCACTTCTATTCCAAACAATCACTTGGTGTCCTGAATTCAATAAGTTTTTAACAATTCCAGATCCCATATTACCCAATCCAATGAATCCGAATTTCAATTTTGATGGACAGATATTCTTGTTCATTAAAGTTTTAGATATTTTTGTCATGTCTAAGAGACTGCTTTCCTAAAATTGAACAAAATAATTTATACTTAAATCATAAAAAATTGACACCATAGATTATAGATATGTTTATTAACACTCACCGGTTGTTTAACTTCAGGCCTATCTAGCAATGTGTTATTCTTACGAAGAGGGCTAATATGATTATTTGTTAAGCCAAGATTTGTAAGTATATCAGTATTGCTGGAACTAGAATTCAGACGCAGTTTTTTAGATTTTTTAGCTTCATCTGAGTTCATAGATGAAGACTTAACTTGTAATTTGCTACGTCTCTTAACTGATGTGTTCGGTGTAGAAGTGCGAGCATTAGACTAAAACATAAAAGATAATTAATGATATACAATTGTAGTATATTATATTTCCTATTATTTAAATTATATATTTATTTATGATTTCAATTCTGAACTATAATTTCTGAAGTTATTTCAAGGAAACTTAACAATTAGTCAGTTAAAAATTAAAATCCCAATATTAAATCTCAATATTTTCAGTTCTTCATCAAACTTGTGATAATGGATAAATACTTAAATTTGATTCAACAAATTATTCAGCAAATATTTTTTACTTCAAATGTTGTTTTTACAATGAAGTAAAGTAGCATAAAAAAAGAACAAAAAATGTATAGTGGTAAGGGAGAAGAAAATTGTATTTCAGCTCTTCTACAAGTGTAACAACAAGAAATATCAAAACAAAAATATAGTTTGTGAAACCAAATGTAAATAGTAATTGATGATAGTATGAACTGTTCATGGAGCAATAATGGCATGGGATGAGAAGAGTATTTTAATAACCAAATATAAGAAGAATACAGCGAACACAAATAAGAAATAGAAAACTATGTAGAAGATAAATAGATGGAAAAAGAAAATTTGGCAATCGAGTATCATTAACTAGCCATAAGCCTAATATGTGTAAATGTAAATACGAAAATACGAATACAGAACAATAAATATATCAATAAAAAAATTAGTAACAAATACAATCCAAACCAAATGAAATTAAATGAAATTTAATGTAATATACTAAGAGAAAACCTGTTTTATAATGAGAAGAATAAATTATAGTCAGTTCCAAAAGAAGCGCAAGTATAAGAATTCGATAAGATAAATTTAAGGTTGAAATATAAGAAGAGAAAGTTCTGCCTAAAAAAAAAAAAGGAACCTCAACTCTTACAAGATACATGTTATTATGTTGACATAATTAAATTTGTCATAATATAAATCCTCTGATAATGGCAAAAAGAGCTAACAGTTTCTAGTCATAAAGCTTAACTCTTTATAATAGGCAATAATACTTACAAGTTTTTTTTTGACAACTGGTGTTGTTGTTGGTGTTGATGTTGGTGTTTCATTTTTAACTAAATTCTCAAACCGGGATTCAGTTTCAGATATTCCATTATTCTTAATCTAAAAAAAAATTAACAGTATTATAAGAATTTTGAATAAAAAAAAAAAAAGAACTGTTACATACAGCAGTTTTATTTTCTGCAATGTAATTTTCTATAGCTTTGCAAGCTTCTTTAAAAAGTAATGTTTTGCAGCTGAACGCCAATGAATTTTTAAATTGATAATATGGTTTTAAACAACCAATTTCAATCCAAGCACTAAAAGAAAAAAAAATGTATGTTAATAAGTACATTTACAGTATGCAATTTTTTTAATTTATTTCAATAAACGCCCATGAAGGCTCAGTTACAGTACCGTAAGGTAATACAACTTAGTACAATATTATGATATTAATAACACAAATAATATAATAAATCATTTCCATAAATATCCATAAAATCAGCAGTTCTCAAACTTATTTTATTTTTACTCTACAGTATCTTTTCTGAAGTTATTGCATTACTTATCAATAATAAAAATTTATTTTAGGACCAGATACATTTCCAAGACAATAAGCACTTTTGTACACATACTATAATTAGAACATTTCATTTTGAATGTTAATAAATTAATTAAACGCTTTAAACTTATAAGTAGAATGATAAATAAATGTATTTACATAGGAACTAGAAAAAAAAAATAATAATACAGTATATAAACACAATTTTATATTAATGTTTTTACTTACTAATTTTCAGTTCCAAAAAAGAATATACACTTGCAGTTTTTCTTAAACACTTTTTTTAAAACATCAGTAGGTTCAGTTACCTGAAACAACATTTTTAATATACAACTCATACAAATCTACTTTTATATATGTATTCAAACATAAGATAACAATTTAATTAGTATTTATAATAAAAAAATTTATAGATGTAACAGATATATAACATAATTGCAATGTATAAACAGTAGCTAATCTAGGATATAAAGGGAAAACATTCATATTGATGGAGACCTCAATAAAAATAATACTATAAGATAACCTATATGTCAATACAAAATTAACGTAGTAGTAATAAATCCCACGATCGATAATATTACCAATCGGCAGGATGAATGACGTTTGGCAATACATGTTGATCAAATTTGACAAGGTTAAAGTGTACAGTACTTAGCAATAGCAGTCCATGTATAGGGGTATACACATCTGTGACACTAGTATTAACGCAACTTATTTAAAATAGTTACCACAATAGATCAGAATATTTAATAAAAGTTAATAAATTATAAACTTACGCGTCCAGGCCAGGGCGGGAAACCTTTCATCTTGGCCCTGTAAACAATCACATATTATTATGCGTTAACTATGGCGCTCTTTTTATTTTAGTTATTATTCAGCCGTACGCGTTAACAGTAAAGACCGTGGCAAGTAAAAATGTACTCACCATACAAGATCGTTGATGTCATACTGCCAATCGTCCAATGAGTTCGACATTTTGGACATAACACACACAGCGATTCCTAAAGAAATATTTTTAAAAACCTGACGCGCTAGCAATAGATATGAATCACATCGGCGGGCGACGAGAGACGAAAATAATGGCGGCTGCGGCGTGTCCGTGTTGTTGTGGTCCGACGGGGAAGAGGGGACGCTTAACGAACATCCCTCCTCCCGTTGTCCCGTGCACAAGCGTTATCGGCGCTCACAGTGTGGCCAACACAAATGAAGCGGTGAGCTCAAATGGTAACCGCGTAGTTGAATTTCTATGAAGAAGCTGGCGTCGGTATAGACCGACCGTTATTGTGGTTACTTGGTCACAGCGTTTGTTTGGCGGCAAAAATAATGATGATGCGCAGCACACAATGTAGTGGTAGGGGTCGCCCTCGCTAGGCATCGCACGCACACCGCACACATAGATGTATAAATGTTTTATGTATCTATAGTCATGCACAATATTGTTAACTACGCTCATGCACTGTCCATCACTTTCCATCATATTCGCTCCCTTATTTTAATTAATATATTTACTAATTACTATATAAATTCTAATTATATTATGAATTTGAGTGTTGGCACTACAAAACACGTTGTTACTGTGTTTGTCAGGAATATCCATTGTTCGCACGAATCACATTAAAATATACGATTATAATGAATGCGTAAAAAATTATTATTAATGTTTTTATTTAATGTCGTCCAAGTTTCAAGTGTCATTATTTATCTAAGTTATTGAAACATATTGTTAACGACGTTTGTTGCATATATATAAATAATTTATTATTTGTAATTGGTATACACTAGTTACCTGGTCTCCCTAGACTGGTTAGTTTTATTGACGGGCGCTACCGACTAGTTTTGACTATCGATAGTTTTAAAAACGATCGATTCTATCGAAACTATAGAATATTATTTTATACATTAATAGATAGTTAAATATCAATACTTTGTTTTTTATTATATACTCAGTAGCGTTAATATGAGGAATCATTGGTTGCGGTCGCATCCGGGCCCGTTTGCAGAGGTGCCCGAAATTATGGAAAACATTTTTAATTAATAGTTAAAATTTTCTCCCAACGCATAAGTTTTTTCACCTTAATTAATTTTCTAAATATTCCAGCCAATCCTCAATCTATCCTTTCCTGCAATTCTCAATCTGTTATTTTATCCACCCTTAACTTATTTAATCAGGCTGGTTTCATAATTAAAAAAAAAAATTGTTTTTCTAATTTATTAGTTATTATATATTTATATTGTAATTATCGAAACTAATGGTTCACAGTTTGAATGAACTTCACACCAAGTTTCTTTATATATAAAAAAAAAAAATTAATAATAACTATTTTTTATTCTATTATAATATATTATTAAACTAAATATTATTGTCATCAAAACCAAAATTCTTAACTCATTACAAATTGTATCATTATTGTTACAAAAATATGATATAGACTTACTTAAAACTTTTGAACTGCTACAAACAGCCTTAAATGTGTGATAATTTCGAAGAAGTGTTTAAGGAACCTAGACAACTAGTAACTTAGTAAGGAGTTCAGCCAACAATTAAGAAAAACTATTAAATATTTTGATGAATTAAGTAGAGATGGATGTCTCCTTGATGCTGAACAATACTTAAAAACACAAATTTACAAATCGGACTCTGGATATAATTATTAAACAACACAAACACCGTTTTAATAGTATGAACCAAATAATAAAACTTTTTGCTTTGATAATAACAATATATATGTTATTAATATATGTACGGGCCGGTAGCGTATAGCGATAATACTCGCGCACCGGACACCACTACTCCGTACGCAAAACCTAAACCGACTTCGTCGGTCACACTGTGTGTACGTGTGTATTTTTGTCATTAGATCGGATAGCAATGGTTTGGTTCACCGTGCAAATACTATCCGACTATGTGGTGCTATGAGTGTGTATGTGTGTTGTGTGTACTTAAAATTATGGAAGGAATAAAAAATGGTAACTAAAATAATGTAAAAAATATGGTAACTATGTTGCTGTAATTTTTACCAAATTTAAACTCAACATCTTTGAATTCTTTATCAAACACATGTTCACATATTTTATACTTGGAAATTCTTTGAGGATCGCGTTCAGCTGGATGTAATGCAGAAAGTAAAGCCCAAATAAAACATTTATTGTCCTCATTTTTCACATTTAAACGACATGTTATAACGACATGTTTAAGTTGAATAAATTTTGGGAGATTTATATATGACGCACCTCTAAGAGGTATAAATTTATTGATACACAATTCCAAGGCGACAATTGTTTTAAGACACCATTGTGATTGTTTGACTTGAAAATCTTGCATTTCATTCGTCAATTTCGTTTTCACTCTAAAATAGTACTTATTTCGATCAGTCATTTTCAATATTATTTCGTTCTTTGTTTTAAAGTGTGTGTCTTTATATTCCATGGTTCCTGCACCACTGATTTTTCTTTGATGTATACAATGCAAAATAAAATTTACTTTTAAACCATGTTGTTTATTTAATCCTTCTTGAATTTTATCTAAAACTATACTTTCTACAAGACTCATAAATTTAACAATATCTTTGAATCCGAAATTTTTATTAACTGTAAACGTTTTAATTCTATTATCGAAGGCAGTATCTTCCTTCAAGATAATTTTTTATTTACGAACAACACTGGACTGGCATACGGTGATGATGATTCAGAAATAATTCCCGCCATTTTCCACTCGTTCAAAATTCTGCCAATGTTTGTCGATCAGACGGTGAAATTCGATACGGCTTCTGAACAGTTGGAACGCTTCCTGGGACCTCAGCGATGTCCATCTCGAGCACGTTAGTACAGCCTAGTTCCAGAATTGTTTTAGCGAACACATCACGATATTTATTTATAACACCAGAGTTGCTCTCGCTCAACAGAGGATACTTCAGGAGCAATACGAACGTCATCGTAATTTACAAGTACCAGCTGTGCAATTCCAGTGTCAACAACATACACAGTAGTTCCCTCAATACGCGGATCATCGGACAAAACATTTGTATCCAAATCACTGTTGGATTCCCAGACAAATTTAGTTCCTTGTTTATAATAATGCACATGAGGTAAGATCAGCCAAGAGTGCCCCACTATAATGTCCATGGGTAGATCCTGGTCAAGTACCACCAGGACTCTGTGATCAACAGCCAAAACTCCATCAATTTCTATCTCGACAGCAGCTTCACCAATGGTCGTCACAGTAGAGTCACTTGTGTTGCCTATAGTGTACAACAACCTAACACCAGCCTGGACCTTGAGACCGCAAGCCTCAGCAGTAGACGATCGAACAATTACGTCTGATGACCCGGAATCAATCAGTCCGACAACGTCGTTCCCGTTAAGGAGTACACGTTTTTCAAATTGATTAACGGGTATCCCGCTGTTGTCGTGCAGAGGTTACAGCCCTCGCAACCGGCATAAAATGATTCTTCCGCAAATCATATAAACGCTCTCAGTCGCGTAGATCCGATTACAACTCTCCGGAACTTTGGTGCTTTCTGCTTATTGCATATACGAACTGCGCTTCAGAACAGATGCCCAGGATGATATGGTCACGTACATAAATGGTCCTTGCACAATTGCAATTTACTGTAGAAATAATCTGCAATATGTTCTTCGGGCCCTTGAATACGAGCGTTAAGTGTTTGCCAACGGTCGGTAAGTCTCAGAGTACGGACAAAAGCGCTTCTAAACTTCACGAGTAAATCGTCCCAGTTTCCAAAGTCTTCCGATAGGAACCAACTGCGGGCGGCTCCCGAAAGATTCGACCGCACGTATTGTAAACGGTACTGAAACGGTCAGTTGTTAACAGTAGCCATGCCATCGACCGACCCGATCCAGTCCTCGGCTTCAAAATTAGATTCGCGGTCGGGAAACATTGGCATTATTCTATCGAGACTAGGAAGGATTCTGAAATCATTAGTCTGATCGGAAAAAGACGAAGGAATCAGTTCTCGAATGCGAAGTGACCGTACTTCTTCACGAAGCGCGTTTACTTGATCGAACAAATCATTGTAAGTCGGTGCGACTACAGTCGTTCGGTTCCGACCGTCGGCATTAGCAGCGGTTGCCATTATAATAAGTTGACCAACTGATTACGTAATATCAGTGACGTTTGATACGGTGCGTCGACAGAACGACGATAAGCGATAACGGCGTTTCGGTGGCGCGATCTCACGACGAATACGAACAGCACTCTTAAGCAGGAGCACGAACGATAACGAAATTAGGGTATTCCCCGTTAAATTTAAAATACTCACAAGACAGAAAACAATGGACGATTTTAACACGAATCGAATACTGATTGACACGACAACAGCACAGAGCTCATACGAAAATCAATGTATCCCACTTCTGATTGTTAGAATAAGAATATTAAATTAAGAAAACCAAAAAGTTATCGAGACAAAAAACTTTATTAATGTCAATACACGTCCACGGACACAGACACGGCGACGTCGTCGTTGACATACTACTCGTAGGTAGTGATGGGAATAATCATTCGAATGATAAAATAATCGAATGGATCATTTGAATAATAAAATAATGAAATAATGGAATGAAATAATTATTCGAATAAAATCATATGAATGAAACATTTTCTTATCTCAATTTTATTACTTTTATCATACACAATCAATATGATTAATCGAAACCATTCGAATCAATTCGATTTAAAAACGATTTGATTAATCATAATTCATAAATTATGAACATACATAAATACATAGTAAAATCATATCAAATATATAATCATTAATTACTTACTTAAATAATATTATGGACATTAATATAATATTTACAAAATATACAATTTTTCTGAATTAATTATATTCATCTCTAAATTGTGTTATTGAAAATTGTATCGTCTGTTACTTAAAATATGTTTATATAATGAAAAAGAACGTTCAACGTCGACACTTGTTATCGTTGCATATTTAAAATAGTTTAAAAAATTGGGTGATATACTAAATAAACATTTTGATTTCTTGTCATAATCTCAGAGTAAGTTTTAGTAGTTTTATATCCTTCATTTTTTTCTAAGATATTTTAATTTATCTTTAACTGTTTTTCCATTGGGACCGGGAATACCTATTTATAGAAATATTTATAGTAAATATTTTTATTTAGTTAGTATTTGTTTAGTATTTATTTATTTAGTGTTTATACTAAATATGTTTAAACTATTAAGTAATTAACTATTTGATTCTTCTAAACTTGTGAGTTTTGTGGATAACTCAGATAAATATAATTTTAAAAATCCTAAACGACATTTAACTACATGAGATTTACGTCGTAGTTATATTGTTTTTATAAAATCACTTTGGAAATAATAATTTGTATATTTTATCACGTTAAGTATACGAAAATTGTAATAATTGGAAAAAATTGCAAAATCGTTGAAAATTGGAAAAAATTGCATTATTAAATAGGAAGACTGTAATTAATCTGATTCGTATACATAGTTGATCAGATTTGATTTACTGGGTATCAATAAAACGTTGCAGTATCAATTAAATCCGCTCTTTATTCATAATCATAAACATTAATGACACATGGATGATGGTATTTACTTAGGTGTACATTTATAGCATTTTTTATATTAGCTCCGTTGTCTGAGACTATAGTCACTATTTTATCTTTAATGTCCCACTCATTTAAAATACCTGAAAGCAAATTACCTATGTTGGCGCCAGTATGAGATTAGCGCATTTCTACTACTCGCAATTACTGTAGTCATAAATTCAATGCATCATATTATAAGACATAAATTATAACTAATATTACTATATCAGTCAATAGTCGGAACTTCCGACTAACCGACTCGGAAGCTATAAATATTTTTGACTGTTGTATTATACAACTGTGATGGGAATAATCGAATGAAATAATCATTCGAATGAAACATTCGTATGATAAATATGTCATGATAAAAATCATTCGAATGATAAAATAATCGAATAAAACATTCGAATGATAAAATTAGTAGTAAAAATCATGTTATGATAAAAAAAATCAAATGCTTTTCTTATCTCGCTTTTATCCGTATACTACTGACTACTGTATAAAATATAAATATATAATAAGCAGGGCTCAGGACTTAATGTACTTAAAATCTTTAAAATATGCGCATACATATGCACCAAAAAATATCAAAATATACGCTTATATATGCATTTATTTTTTAGTTAAAAAAGACGTACTCATACAAATTTAATTAAAAAAAAAACATATCTTGTACATACTACTAAAAATATGTTTTGTACATACTATATTATTAAAAAAAAAAAATGCCAAACTGTTGAATGGGAGGTCTTTGGATTTTTTTTACACTCAGCATCTTCTATACCTAGCAATTATAATAGTTATGTATTAAAAAATAATCATTTTATAGTTTTAATTGTGTACTTACTTGCATTACACTGAATTATTAAATGTTTTTTGATGTCTCGACTTTGAAAGACCTATTATTTGTTATATTATATTATAATATGGTGTATAGTACCATTATACCTATACCTAATTGGGCAGCCTTTAGTTGCAGAGTATTTTTTATATTGTTCAATTGTTAATAATATTATATTATAAATATAAATTTAATATTCATATTGTGGTTTTCTAGGTATATTGAATAGAATAATTCACTTTATTTTCGATTCCAAAAAGTAAAAACCGGAAATAAGAAATGCAATACAATTTTTTTTTTTTTAAGGAACGTTCAGTATATAACTATTTAGCTCGACAATTGTAAAGCAATAAAATATCTAAATAATGATTAATATAAACTTATAAATAGTTTGATATAACAATTCAAATTGTAAAGTACCATGCAATACAATTATTTCCAAAAATAGTTTTAGTCTAATATCTAATAGTATTATAGAAGTAATAACCAATAGACAATAAGAATAAGATACCAAAAACAATATTACGTATTATCATTGATTATAAATACTATTTAAAATCAATGGTATTATTAAATTATTATCATTGCGATTTCTGGCATTAGTCGAATAAGAAGTGTTTCTCTGTTATTTATTTTATTTTATATTTAGTAAAATGGCACCTAAAAGATCGGTGGTATGGGAACATTTTAAAAAAATTAATGAAAATTCGTGAGGTGCCAAATATGCAAAAAAGATTTCAATTACCATAACAATACTACAAATTTAAAAGGTAATAATAATAATAGTAATAATATTAACTAAATTATAAAAGAATAAAAACCCTACGTCATAGATTAGGTTTTTTCTTCTATGTAGTAACAAAACTTGAAGTTTTTATTTTGATTGTAGCGTGTATTTGATGATCGCTTCAACATCCTTTTTTAAAACAAATATCATTATTACACTGCAATAAAAAATTTTGTTAACACATGAATATTTTTAAATTACTTTTAAAATAGTTTTTAATCGTTAGATTTTAATTTTTTTTTTAATTTATAAAAAATACTTATTCAAAACTACTTGTAAAACGGTGTGTACTGTGTAGCACTAGCATAACTAGCATTAACTAGATAATATCTTAACTAGCGGCGTCCGCAGGGGGGGGGGGGCTAACGGGAGGTTGAAGCCTAACGGAAGGCTGAAGCCCCCCCTCCCATTACCCGTTTCATTATTTTCTGTTTTTATGTTTACCTCGTTTTAATCTTCTTCTTTCTTCTTTCTTGGTTTCGACCATTCAAGACCATACCTCTAAATAAACATACTGCTACCTATCCCTATCCTCTGCTACTTCCTTACCTCGATTTAATATAGTTTATTAAATTGTGTGTTTACCTATCTATTGCAAGCAATGCAGACCATATTGTCCTAAACTGGCTAAACTCCTAAGGTTCATAGATAATATTTTTATACATTCCATAGTCAGTAAACACGATTAAAGATACTATCTTTAGCCGTGCCACAGTCCATATAAATCTATAATCTATGAGAACAATTGCTCATTATTTTTGTTATTATATTTTTTGTTAGTTCTTTTTTCATAAATTTTTTTCTTGTCTATTTTATGCTTAATTTAATTAAGAAATATAAAAGCTCTTTATTATTCAAACTTATAAACCAGTGACAACTGAGTAATTATTTATTTTCAAGCCCCCATTGAAAAATCATGCGTACGCCACTGATCTTAACTACATGATATCATAAGGTTATAACTATAATTCATAAAATTAATAATATATACTGATTTTGTTGTATATAGTTATATTATTATTTTTTATAATATATATTATTTTATTTTTATAAGAGTATTACAATTTTTTAATTGATTACATTTTTTTAAATTTCAAATTTAATTACTATTACTTTGTTTTAAGAATTTTAAATTCCAATTTATTTATTTTGCTTGCATTTATTTTAGTTTTATCTAAAGAACATTTGAAGAGAAAACATCTTGCACACCTTAATCCTATTATAGAAACTGAAGAACAATTAGATTCAGATGTATTATCGGCCGGTCCTTCTACTAGTTCTAATTTACAATTAGAACATTAAGGTTCTAATACGAGTTCACAGCAGCCCTGTACTTCACCTATACCCAAACGTTCTCGCCAGTTAAAATTATTTGGTTCGATTAGAGGTAATGAATTATCCGAAGTAGAAAAAGGTTCGATAGACAAAAGTCTAATCAAAATGATTTTTGTTGATTATCAACCACTTTCATTAGTTGATAATATTGGATTTTTGGAGTATTCGAAAAAATTACAGCCTTTGTATAAGCCGCCTAGTAGGAAAACGTTAACTATGAAATTATTACCGGATGAATATAATAAGATAGCTACCATTCTTAAATCTATGTTAAGAAGTGTCAACAATGTTTCAATTACGACTGATATGTGGACATCAGATAGCAATAGGGCTTATTTAACAGTTACGGGTCACTTTATATTTAATGATCGTTTATATTCGCCTAATTTATCAACAAGAGAAATAATTAAAATACATACTGGTGCAAATATTGCTACTTCAATTTCAGCTATTTTAATTGAGTAGGGTATTTTAGACAAAATAGTAACAATAGTTTCAGATAACGGGCCGAATATAAAAAATGCGATAAATGAACATCTTCATAAATATCACCATCCATGTGTTGCGCATACATTAAATTTAATTGTTAATGATGCAATTACTTCAAATGAAGAGTTATTTAACGTGCTAAAAAAATCCCGAGCATTGGTTGGGCATTTTAAACATAGTGTTTCCGCGTTTACAAAATTAAAAGAAATACAAAATCAAATGAATGTTCCCGAATTAAAAGTCAAGCAAGACGTTAGTACTAGATGGAATTATAGTTTGATAATGTTAGAAAGACTTATCAAATTAAAGCACCGTTATCTGCTGCAATAACATTTCTTCCTCATGCTCCAAATTTCTTAACTGCGTTAGAATGGGAATTAATATCTGACTGTCTTCCGTTATTAAAACCTTTTGAAATAATGACAATTGAGTTATCTGGAGAAAATTATCCAACACTATCCATAGTTATTCCTTTGATACGAGGACTTCAGTATACATTGAGAAACAAAATGACTACAACAGCAGCAGGTACTTTACTTAAAAAAACAGCAATCGAAGTTTTAGCTAGGCGTTTAGGGATATTAGAATACAATAAAATAGTAGCAAAAGCTACATTTTTAGATCCAAGATTTAAAAAGACAGGATTTGGGTTAGTGGATAATGCAAATAATACGGAGAAATGGATAGATGAAATCAATTCTATAATGAAAAATACTCAAGAGAACGAAACATCTAATATGCCTATCAATGGAGAACCTAATTTATTATGGGAACAATTTGATAGTAAAGTTTCCCAAATTAGAACAACTGGAATCTCGGCTTCTCTCTTAATACGGCAATATTTAGAAATGCCCTATTTAAATCGAACAAAAAACCTGTTTGTACGCACCGTCGCGGAGCTGTTGAAAAATATTGATCGCCAGCCGGCCGCGCAACACTCGCGAACGTGCGCTCTGAAGAATATTAAGAAATATGGTGAGAGGAGGAGATGATGGTGTTTAAGGACAACAAAAGGCCATAGAAATAATAGACCAATTAATAATAGGCCCTTGGGCACAAACCACACTTATTATTATTTAAGTTTACAGACAATGAGTAAATAAAAACAATCTTATCTCGGGTGGTGGTGATAAGGGTCCAACTGAAAATCGTTACATCTGACCCCTAGATGGCAGCGTAAATACGTAGTGCTACCAACCAGCAGACCGCAACAGACAACACTCGTGGCGATGGATGGCTTGTGTCGGGAACGAAGTTGGTACTACTGGCGTACGCGACGCGCACCACGAACCGACTTGTAAAAAGGACCACTGGTGAAAACCACGTGGACGCCAACGTAACTAAAGTGATTGCGACCGAAAACAGGTTAACGTACGGGAAACGCACTCGAAGAGGTGGTATCTAATACACACAAAAGCGAGTTCGTGAAATACGGTGCACGGTGATGGCACAATACCACTGTCCACCAATCAACCGACGCGATAAACGGGGCGTACGGACGCAAGGCTGCGAAAGTGACCACGAGGTCGATAGTATATAAAAAAAGACGCGTTGACACTACACGCGGTGACACACAAACGAGATCGACCAACGGTGGCGGATCAAACGCACGACCAAAACGACACTCGCGTACAAAAAAAAAGGAATCGACCTTATGAAGATAACACACACGGAAAAGGCGGGGCAGGCATGACAGTTATCGGTCGGCCGAACGCGAACGAATATCCAGAACCGAAAACAAATTTTTCCCCACACACCACCGCGATCGACGGCCCGGGCGACCAGGTTCGCGTCATCGGTGGGGGTAAAAAAGAGGGGTGCCGACGGTGGTCTTGGCGAATCCTCGACGACCGTCACGATGGTGCACAAACAAAACCCTTTAGACTTTTGGAAACAACACAAAAATACATTTCCTGAACTTTATTCGCTCCAATTAAAATATTTATGTCTTCCCGCGACTTCTGTTCCGTCAGAACGCGTATTTTCAAAAACAGGACAAATAACGAACGACCGTCGGAATAGACTTCACCCCAAAAATTTAGGTTATATTGTATTTTTAAATAGTAATGTAAATTTAAATTTATAAATTAACATTTTTTTTTCTCAATGCAAGATACAGTTTCTAAATTATTATTAATATATTGATTTTACCTATATATAATTATTATTTAGTTATTAATATTGTATCAGTTTGAAATATTTTATGTTATGGTATTTGTTTTATATTTTATAATTAAATACTTAAATTAAATATTTGTTCTTTTATATTTTTTATTCTTTGCCTAGATACATGTTACAGATAATTCACTAAAAAAGTAGTTGATAGGTTAGTAAATATGGGTTATATGTATATGGTTGGCACTTGGTACTACTAATATAGATTTTAGTATTATACTATTATTATTATTATTATTATTATTATTCGATTATTTTATTATAAATTATTTAGAATAATAATATACCTACCACTAAATCAGTAACACTAACTAATAGTTCAATTAGTTAGTAACTATAATTATTCGAATAATAAAATAATCTTATAGACTTTCTTTCCAAATTAAGGAATTTATAATTTATTTTTATAGATAAAAAACAATTATAGGTAAATACACTTCAACTGAGTATTACCTAATTGTATTATTATTTATTGATAGGTATTAGCCATTAGGTACACTAAATACTATACCAATGAGTAATGACTATTGACAATATTTATAAAACCAATTACTATAAAGTAGTCAGTAGTACACGGGTAGTGACTACTGAGATAAAAAAGCATTCGATTATTGTATCATTCGAGTGAAAAAATTCATTCGAATTATTTATTCGAATGATTCATTCGATTATAAAATTTATCGATTACTAATCATTCGATTATTAAAATCATCCGATTATTCCTACTACTCGTATTATAGGTGTTGACTGGCGTCTGCCGGAACCCTGCCCCGACCGACGTCAGTCAATGCAGCCATTCTTTAATAATAATGAAAATAAAGCTAACAGGTTACTCAAAACATTTAGTCATTTTTGAGTAAGACATTCCCAGTTTATAATCGCCATGTTTTCGTATTGAATGAAGGACTTCTAAATTCTTTACCTTTAAACCAAGGATTTTATCTTGATACTTCATGTGAGGGTAATTTACCTCGGTCGTATCTCTTTTAAATATTCCAAGAATATTAAAAAACTCTGTAATAAACATGAAAAAATATATTTTCAAACTTTATCTTTTAGAAACCGAAACCCCAAATAAAAGTGATTCTATACTTCCTGATCCTATTCGGTGTTTAATTGGGGGAGAGTCTGGTTCTGGTAAGACCACGCTGTTAAGGAACATTATCACAGAGTATTGGGTTGATAACCAACATCTATATGTATTTACAACAAATCTTGAACAACCCGTGTATATAATTTTGTAAAAAATATTTGATATTAATTTTAAGATTGATTCACATTTTTCTGATCAAGATATAGTACCTGTCAATGAATGCCAAACAAATAGTTGTTTTTGATGATTGGATTTTGGAAAAAGATCAATCATTAGTAAAGGAATATTTTGTCAGAGAAAGACATAAAATTATTTCCTGTATTTATTTAACACATTGTTTTAGTTCGAGCGATTTAAAATTGATACGAAATAATTAAAATTTTTTTATTTATTTTTAAACAACAAAAACACTATGTGGGTTAAATTTGGGAAAGTTTCTATTGTTCAATCCTATCTAAAAATAAATTTGAAAAATGTTGTGCACTTTGCTGGGGAAAAACATATGGTTGTTACATTTCTCTGGATGTTATAGATAATCATATATACAATAAACTAGAGAAAAAACTGTGTTAAAGTTTACGTTCACGTTCACGTTTGGGTTAGACATTGGTCGTCTGTAATATGATTTTCAATATATTTTTAAAAAATATATCTATTATAAATGTATGACAGCGATGTTGAAAAAATTCAGTATAATATTATAAAAAAAATGAGAAAAGGAGACTTTCAAGATAGTGAGCTGTTTAGATCAAATACTTTAAACAATGATAAGAACAAGGAAACAATTGAAAACGAAAAAGAAAAAAATAGAGAAAACCAATAAAGTATTAAAAATTAAAGAAAAACTACAAAATAATTTTAAAAATGCAAATCAAAGAGAAATCAACAATGAAATTAGAAAGGAAAAAGCTTTCGAACCTATAGTGAAAGCGTTAAGAGACATAGAAAATGCTGTAAACAAAATAGATGCTGATTCACAGAAAGCGTTGATACCTCTAAAAACATCGACATTGATAGACCAATCTAGTGATGGGCAGAAACGACTATTTGATACTACCGACTATTATTCGGTTTTCATTACGTACTACCGACTATTATTCGACTAATAATTTGCACGACCAGCTATATACAAATCATAGAAATTAGTCGAATAATTAATCGACTATTTTTTTCCAACCAACTAATATGAATAAATAAAATTAGTCGACTAATTATTCGACTACTTTTTTCCAACCAACTAATATGAATAAATGAAATTAGTCGACTAAAATAACTGATAACTCGGTAATTCTAAGAAATTTAAATTGTAGTCGTAATTCTATTTAAAGGTAAGGTTTTGTTTCCGCAGTTGACTGCAGCAGTCATTCATAGTATAAACAAAAATAACGATAATGACACGCACGGCGCACGTCGCACACACTACAAATTTAAAACAGTTGTAAATTTGTATTTATTTTTCCTAGTTATGTTTATATTTTTTGTTATATTATTATTATTTTTGTTATATTGTTGAATTAAAGTAATTCATGCTAAAGTTTGCAATCAGTCCAATAAAAATCAGTTGAATAATAAAAAAAAGTCAAATTGAATAATGGTAATTAGTCGAATAATAAAGTAAGTCGAATAATAAAAAATAAGTCGAATAATAATAACTTGTCAAATAATAAAAATTAGTCGAATAATAATAACTAGTCGAATAATAAAAATT